CTAAACCCTCAACCCTACTCTAGTTAGTAAGGCGCTATACTACTGAGGAGCACCATGAGGAGGTCCATGTGATGCGAGAAGAGCCTGTCGCGCGACAAGCTCCGCTGGCCATGGAGCTTCTGGGTTCGTGGGCTTTATAAGACTTGAGGGTTGTAGGGTTCAGGGTTTGTGGGTTTTGGGACTTTAGGGTTGTAGGGTTCAGGGTTTGTGGGTTTTAGGACTTTAGGGTTGTAGGATTCAGGGTTTGTGGGCTTTAGGACTTTAGGGTTGCAGGGTTCAGGGTTTGTGGGCTTTAGGACTTTAGGGTTGTAGGGTTGAGGGTTTTGTGTCTTAGGGTTTAGGGTTTTTAGGGCTTTGGGGTATTGTAGGGTTCAGGGTTTTGTGTCTGAGGGTTTGTGGGTTGGTGGGTGTTATGACTTTAGGGTTGTAGGGTTGAGGCTTTTGTGTCTTAGGGTTTTAGGGTATGTGGACTTTCAGAGTTTAGGGTTGGAAGGTTCAGGGTTTTGTGTCCTGGGGTTTTCGGGTTTGTGGGTCAAGGGCGTGACGAGGCTTTGCGACCCGTGGGTTCGGTGTCAAAGCGGCTCAAATCTTCGGATGTTAGGTGTAGGGTTTAGGGTTTAGGGTAATGCTGCACTGTCTTGAATTCGTGCACCCTCTTCAATGTGCGCCGCCCGGTGCCAATTCATGATTTGAGCATTTTTGCGCGGGGACCCTCTTTAATGTGCCCGAAGTCCTAAGCCCTAAACCCAAACCCACATTGAGCCCTCACAAAGACTTTTGGAAAGCCTTTAAAATCCTGAAGCCCTTACAAGACCTATACAAGCTAATTACCCTAAACCCTGAACCCTAACCCTATAAACCTTCTAACCCCAAACCCTAAGCACTAAGCCCTATAAACCCTAAACCCTATATCCTAAACCCGGAACCCTAAAACCTGAACTCTAACCCTATAAACTCTATAAGCCCTAAACCCTAAACACTAAGACCCTGAACCCTAAACCCTAAACCCTAAACACTAAGACCCTGAACCCCAAATCCTACACACTAAAACCGTCCAAGCCGAGCAAGCTCGAAGGACGGGGCTCCGATCGCACGCGTCGATACCTCTGAGGAGGAGCGCAAGGCTGGCCTTCGGGGTATTAAAAGGTTGGGTTTGGGATTTAGGGTTTCGGGTTTAGGATTTAGGGTTTAGGGTTTGGGGTTCAGGGTTTAGGGTTTGGGGTTTGGGGTTTAGGGTTTAGGGTTTCGGGTTTAGGATTTAGGGTTTGTATGCGGTTTTGTACGGGGTTGAACAGGGCTTGGAAGGGCTTTGGATGGGTTTATCTGTGCTTAGTTTTACTTGTGATTTTAATCGCGTTTACAGGCTCTGTCTGCGCGGTCCATGATTGAGCAGACTATTGCAAACCCATACATTAGCGGGTAAGATCAAGCAGTAGGTAGCACCATAAGGGTTGTAAGCACCTCAAACGGCGATACAAGTGATTGCAACCATGCTGTCTGCGGCAAACCGTGGCTGCGCCTGTATCTTTCTAGTTTATTCTGGCTTCACTAGAAATCCTAAAGCAGTAGCCGAGTAACCTTATTACTTACCCCCTTAACTCCTTAACGATGCACCATGAACCCGAAATCCTCAAAGCATGCAGAGAAAAACTCTCTACACCTGAGACCTGTTTTAACAAAACATGTGTTGAGAACCGAATCCCACAGGCCATTACCCCCAAAACCCTGAAAAAGCCAAGGTTCTCAAAAAAACGCAGCGGTAAGCAAAAGCCTTCAACATCCCTCACCCCCTAAACCCTAACGCCTAAACCCCTGAACCCCTAAACCCTAAACCCCTAAACCCTTAAACCCTGAACCCCTGAACCCCTAAATCCTTAACCCCTGAACCCCGAAGCCCGAAGCCCTTAAGCCCTAAACCCCTGAACCCTTATATAGCCCTTTAAAGGACCCCTTATAGATCCCTGTAAAGGAACCCCTACATTCCCTACTTGGAGGATCATGGGACTTAGTAAGTAATTGGGGTTATAATTATAGTTCCTCCAAGTAGACTTATAGATCCCTTTAAAGGAACCCTTATAGGTCCCTTTAAGGGAACCCTTATAGATCCCTTTAAAGGAACCCTTATAGATCCCTTTAAAGGAACCCCTAAATCCCCTAGGACTCCTTGGCGCAGGTCTTTGGCCGCCAGTCCTTGGCTCCGCGAAGGCGGCAGGAGATGAGCCCAGCCGAGGCGGCCGAGCGCGTCTTAAATGTAGGAGCCTTCATATTTAGAGTTTAGGGTTTAGGGTTTCGGGTTTAGGGTTTAGGGTTTAGTACTTTTTATTATAAATATAACAAGGACCCCCCCCCCCC